CTTCGTGGATCTCGTTGTCACTTGCGCAGAAACGTTTCTTTAACGAGCGAGTTTAAGAGGTGTGGATTTTTTCTAAATTGCTGAGGATAGCTTACGTTAAAAATTGGCTTTTAACTAACGATGAGACATGCAGGTAGTCATTAAGCCTACTCAGTTCACCGGAAGGTAACTAGAACTGTGCACTGGAATTCTCTAACAAGTAGTTTTGGTTGATTTGAGTTGCATTTTTTGAGTATTTTTTGGGGCTGAAAAAAAATGATACTAATTCATTGAGAAATTATGAAAGTGTGTATCGGTGATTGTACCGAAAGCTTGTTAACTTTCTGTTAATTTTTCTTGCTTTTACCAGTTTTGGATGCTTCATAATTTTGGTAAAAATGTTTTCGCTAAATTAACAGAAATTTGCCGCAGAGTTTTGGTCATAAGGGTTGTCTGATTGTTAAGGCGCATTTGAGCTAAATGTTGGGGAAGGGTTGAAAAAACGTTAAGCAGTTCAAAAAAGAACTGTTGCCTCCCCATGTTGCTTATATTTCATAAGTACGTATAAATTTGATGTAGTTTATGCGCAAATCTTGTTATTTTTTGCAGTATGCAGTGCACTTATTAGTGTATTACGAGTACGGACAGAACTAATGAAAACGATGGGATATGGGGTAAATTATCTGTAGTTTTCTTCGTTTCGTTAGCAAATTTTTACAGTTATAAGGTTTTTACTCTGTAATCTAATGCAAGATAATCAGATAAGAGAAATACTGCAACTTGTTCAAGTAGTGTTTTGCAAGTAGAAAACGTGTCAGCAGTAAGCTTTCTGTTGGGTGATAAACATTCACTGGTTTTAGCGGTTAATTTCAAGATTTACCTCTAAAACCGTCATACAGCATGTAGGGACGCTAGTTTCACCGTAGAACTTGCTTCTGGTTGGAGTTCTTAGGGCGATCAATAGTTGTACCATTCAACCAACAACCTCTATTGGCCTTTAAAGCGCCTAAAGTGTAGTACGCAATAGAGGTTTTTGAAGTCGTCTTATTTGGAACGCTTTCACTAATGCTGTCAAAATAATTCACCTAGGAACCGCTAGCTTTTCAATGGTTAGAAAATGCAGTTCTGGAGGTTGGTGTTTTGGAACTTACAGTTTTTAGGTTTTTTGAAAAGAGGGTGTTCCTTTATTGATTTGTGATCAGTTCAAATCTACGAGCGAAGTTTTGCAAGAAAAGTTGAAAAAAATTATCATTTGTTTGTTGCTGTTCCCAAAAGTAAATTTCGCTTCTGACGATTTATGAAAGGCTATAAGTTCACTTGCCAGAAATTCATAAGTACATTTTTCATATTCAAGACCAAATAATAATTCACGTTATTTTTATTGGGCTGCTTTGCTCGATGTAAAAAACCGTATGAGCCTGCATTTCCACTTTCTTGTTAATTTTTTTGCTTCATTGTTTTTGCACGGTATTCCGTAAGACTTAAATGAAGTAGCATATTACGAACAGGCTATAGGCTTTTTAAAGAAGTTCAGTGGATCTGAAACGATGGGTTTCTGTAACGATTCTACGTTGGATTTACCAATATTAGACACTGATTACAAAGTAAGTGAAAATTGCGGCGTCTAACAGGTAATTACGTTATAGGTTAGGAAAATTTTTCTTATTCAAAGTTTCTGAATTTTAAGCTGGACACCAAAAAAAACGTTTGCTAGAAATTACGTTGATTGTTTACTCACACTATTTTTGAAACCGCATGATCGTTTTTGACGCATGAGATGTTTGAAATGACACTTCCGGCTATATATTCGACAGTCTTGAAGGCTTAAAATTTGACGTCAAGGTTTTTTGGTCTTTATTTTCTACTTGAATTCCTCTTCCAGATTCACATAGGTTCTGGAGGTATCCCAGTTGAACTGTTATTTCCAGGAGAGTACTGCTCTCTCTTCGTTGGCTCGCGTCCTATTAATTGGTCTTCCGAAAAAGGCCTCTCTTTTGGAACCCAAATTTTAAAGCATTTTAGTAAAGTAGGTTTACGTCTCATTATTTCACTTTTCAAAAAGTTGGTTATTATCTTGCAGTTCTTTGTTATTTCTGCTTCTTGATTATTTTAGTATGGATGCGTGACTCAGTTTTTACGATTTAGTGATGCAGAACAGGAGTTTATTGGACACCCATGTTTGATACGCATGGAAAGTAAAACAGCAGCGTTAAAAGCATTTGAAAGCGGTGATATGGTCTTTGACAGTCAAGTTTGGGAGGTTAAGGTTGGTTTTCCGCAACTTGGAACTGCAAAAGTTGTCTCTTTTTTTTTT